AAATATAACATGTGTATAAAATCTATAACTATATATAATTATAGTCCCAATTGTCTATTAATGAACAGTTTAGCAATGTGAATAAAATTGATTGGATAGTTATATTTGGGAAAACGTTGATATTCTTACAGTAAAACCAGTCTTCTCTTATGTGGTCAGCAATGTCAATGAATTTTATACTATTTATTTACACATGAAGGCCATGTGTACCTATTTCATACTATCTATTTACGCATGAAGGCCATATGCACCTGTTTCATGCTCTTTATGCATGAAGACTATGTGTCTGATAACTTTCTTCATCTTTCAGTTCAGAAGAAAGTGTGAACAATATTTTGGAAAAAAAAAAAAGAAAGATCGAAAAACGAACTCGACACCGTGACGCGGAACGAGTCAATCCTGAGTCGGCGGCATTTATTGATCAGCTTCGTTCTCCATCGTCTGATTATCAATATCTTTGATCGTTAGTTAAAAAAATTGAAATAATAATTGATAAATTTTATCAAATTGACTGATTAAAATAGGTTATTCATTACATTTTTTTTAAAATTTGATAGGATACAAGTTGGTTTTGGGAGATTCCTTTGTGGGTTTTGGTAGGTTTTTTAATATTTTAGTGTTTTTTTTTTTTTTTTTTTTAAATTTTGGTGATGTTGGATTTTCGGGAGGGTGGGGAATTGGAGGGTTAAGGGGTTAAGGTTTTGAGGGTTAGGGTTTTCGGGGGTGGGTTTGGAGCTGGATGAAAGTTCTGAGCTTGAAGAAGGTGAAGCTTGCTGTCCCAAAGATGCTGACAACAACATTAACCCCAATACAGCCTTCCCTCACATTGTAATTAGTTTTTGTTTATTTTTAATAAAAATTCAATCTTTTTAACACCCGTTTTCTCTTTCTAAAACTTGGGATTATGCTTCAGTTAATGTCATTTGAGTTTTTTTTATAGCAATTATGCTTAATTCTGAGTGTGATTAATTATTTATGGTACTTTGTAGGCAATGCAATGCTATGAAGCTTTCTTGCAAGGAATGGTTAATTCGAAATAATGCTTAATTTTGGATTTGATTAAGCATAAAGGGCCATTACTAAATAGAATGAGCTGTGGCTCTTTATATGCATTAGAGTTCCATAAGGCTTTAACTTTGGGTTTATTTGTGGTATATGACCATTGATTCACTAATACAGCTTCTTGAGAAATGGAGTGATGAAGTTGATGATCCTGATTGAGATTTTTCTCTTCTTTGCATACTTATTACATGAAAGTGTTATTTTGACTAGCTTTCATATACAAATACTTGGATTAGTTAGGTTAATTTTTCATCATTAGAAATGTTATAAAACAACTAGAAAAAGTAATTTGAAGGGTAATATTGGGCTTAAAACATATAATGAGCATAAAATTGTTTTCCAATAGTCTGTTGGCCATTACTATCCGCCATTATCATCACACCATCGGTAGTCCTGCCTTCATTTTTCTTTACTTTCTCTTCTTCGTTCTATGCTTTATGCCATTTAGCCTCTCTTTTTTCTTTTATTTGTCTTCTTTTTTATTTTTAATTCTTTAAGGTTTTATTTCATTTGATTTTAGATTTTTGATTGAGGAATTTCATACGGAATTTCTTCTCATTTTTTGGCTGTCTTTGCATGTATTTAGGTAAGATTTTTTGGGTTCAGTTTTTTTAATTGAATTGTTTGTTTTTTTCTCAGGTTTTTATGAAGTCTGAAGTTTCCATGGCTTTCAATGACAGCCCTATCTAGGCCCGGCACTGATCTCTAGCAGTGCTGCTACCACCATGCCAGTTGAGTCGAATCGTTACGTTTCTCCTGCTCTGGTTGATTCTGTTGTCCCTTTTCTACATGAATCAATTACTAACGGCACTTTGAAAACATTCTTGAAAAGTATGTTCTCCATACTGTAATTTCCATTCCTTCAATAAACATTCATTTTCATGTTTGTAAGTGCTTGATTGCGTTTGTATCTGAATTTTTTAGTGCATAACCTGGTGATAAAGTAGCAGCTAACGAACCATTTGCTCAAATGGAAACATATAAGGTACTTTCTTTACTTTTTCTTCTATTGAAAAGATATGCGTTTATACCCTCAATACTTGATGTGTTTATTTTCATTAGGTAACAATTGATGAGGCACTTACTTGACAATCATGTAATTTAATAAAATTAAATAGGTAAACAATCCCATCTCCTTAATACATTTCCCTTTTTTATTTTTTGCTAGATGACTTTAGAAGATTCAATTAGAAGTTTCAAATTCTTCATGTTTCACGAAGAATTTCCCAGTTGAAATTTATGGTGCTGATGGTGAATTGGTATTGATGATATTCTTTGGACATAAACTTGCTTTTTGGATAAACAAGCTCTATTGTGGAAGGCATAGCAGTAAGTTGTGTTCCTTTATAACAAGATAGAGTATACATTTTGCACATAATTTGTCCTGAACTGTTGCAACATGGTTTTACATTCTTCATCTTACATTCACATCTTTAAGTCAGATGAAGAGGCCACCCTAGCTGTTATTGAGCTGGAGAACTGAGCTGAGTGAACCTGATGTTTTAAGGATATCTTAAGTACCTTTAGATATCCTCTCTATTTAAGAACACAAATGTAAAAATTGTTTTCAATGAAATATTGGCTGCTGCTGGAAGGGATATTCCCATGAAAGAAAGATATATCTAGGGTACGTGGTGGCTGGCCAATGCAATATGCATTCCACGTGAGTCTCCTTTCATATTAATTATAAATTATTCTTTTTTTATCTGGATTTCTCCTATAAATAGACAGACTATCTTCTAGGTAAACTGCTATGGTAATCTTATGGTAAACTGCTTTATTCTCTGATCTAATTTCTCATTTCTGGCTCCTAAACATATATCTACAATCGCTATAAGAATTAACTTTGCAAAACTAATGCCTCTTTCCTTGTCGTTTCGTTAAAAGCTCTTGAGAATTATTTCTGTGAATGGTTATAAAGCTTGACTATTTCCTGAGAGATTGAACATTGATGCTCACTAGCCCATTCTCTAACTGTACTCATCTTTTAACAAAATGATAGGGCTTTTGGCATCAACAAAAGTTGGCTTCTAATTCGAATATCAGTTGGGTTTTTGGTTTTCTTCTCTTGTAAATAGATATCTAATTATGTAAGATTTTATTAATTATTGTATTGTTTTATCTGTTGATTTATTTTTATTAAAATTAAATATATATCACTTATTTGAAGTGTGAAAGTGGCTTTATAGAACTATTTATGATATTTTGGCTATCAACGAAAAGCTTCAAAGCCGATAACTAATAATTTGTAATTTAAAAAAAATTTTTTTGGCTTCACCTACTAAAACATTTTTATTTCATAAATGATGTTTCAGATGTAATTGTTTTTAATTTTTTTTATTTAAGTTTACTTGAAGCATAAAATTTTAGATGAATGAGTTGTAGAATTGAATTTATACATTATCATTTGACAATAAATTAAAAATTTATTTTCATTTAAAAATTAAAAAAAAATTATAATATTAAAACTTTTTATCTCATTGCATGTTAATATAAAAAAGATAAAATAATAAATTAAAAAATATAAAAAAATTGTACCCTTGATGAAGTGAAGGTAACCCACTAGTAATTATAATGTCCTTCTCTTAGCCAAAATTATTATAATACCCTTTTTACGATGATTGATCAAAATTATTATAATAATTTTTAACAATAATTTCGAAAATACTTTTTGTTATGATTGATTAAAATTATTATAATATTTTTTCTATCATAATTATAGAAATGCATTTCTTACTATAATTGTCAAAGTTACTCTAATATATTTATTAAATTACATATTAAATTTTAACATAATATAAAATTAATTACATATTAAATTATTAAAATATTATTGCCATTACTTAATATAAATTTGCAAATGTGACATTTTGTTTAAAATTTACTATATCATCTCTATTTAATTACGTATTAAATTTTAACATAATAAAAATTAATTATATATTAAATTATTAAAATATCCTTTCTATTGTTTCGTAAAAATTTAACATGTATTACTTTATGAAAATTAGTATAATACCCTTATTAAAGTATATATTAAATTACTATGATAAAATAAAAATTAAAAATAAAATGTGATAAATATAAAAAGACATAACAAAAAATTAATTTATATTTTTATTTTGCTTTAAATAATTTTACAAAAAAAATTTACAAACTACAATAGATTGAAAATCATACACTTAATAAAATAATTAATAAAAATATAACGTTCAAAATATAACATAAAAAATCAACAAAAACTCTATCACAATAAATGAAATACTATATATATATATATTAATTTTACTATTTTATTTATTTTATTATTTATTTTATAATAATAATAATAATAATAATAATAATAGTAATAGAAAAATAGCTCACCCCGCGGGGTGGCAATTTCTAGTTAACAACTGAAAAAACATTGCAAAGAATTTCTTAAAATGAAGGAACCCGAAAATAGTAAGTAGGGGCATTCCGAGAATTGAACTCGGGACCTCTCGCACCCTAAGCGAGAATCTGCCCCTTTTGTTTGTCTATTCAAAAACTTATACTAACGAATATTTTTAAATAATTACCTTCCTATCCTACAACATTAACCCAAAAGCTAGTTATTATTATTATTATTATTATTATTATCCAACTGTCTCAATCATGTAAAAAAGTTTTCCCCAAACCTTGCTTCAATTTTCCCTCCAAAACAGTCTGCCTCTATCTCTCCCTCCCTTTTTCTTCCCTCCAATTTTTAAACCCTCATCCCCTCTCTCTCTCTGCTTACTTCGCTAACCTTTTCTTAGTAAGTTCTTATTTCCACTTCAATTTTGTTTATAAGCATTAGCCCCAAAATTTTTTTCATTTAAATTGTCTTTTTTTTTTCTTTATGTGAAACTCTCTGCTTTTTGGAGATTTAATGAATTAAAGTGAAAAAATAGGTTCTCTTGGAGACAACTATGGCGAAATTAAATGAACCCAAGCACCGATTTTTCACATGCCGAGACTCAGCCCTGGTATGTTTCTTTCACTCTTTGATTTTATTTTTAAAGGATCTTAGGGCAGTGTCAAGATAATTTTTTTTTCTTTTGAATTTTGCCATAAATATTTTACTTTTAGTTATTTATGCTCTAAAGTATGTGACATACTAATTATTTATGTGAAATATGTGTTTGAATTTTTACAAAAAGAAAAGGTGACAAATATAGGATTTTGATTTCTTTAAATTGCTTCCCTTATTATTATTTTTTTTTTGGCTTAGTCAAATTTAGGTTCTTAATTAGTCTAATTTGATAAAACTACTGCAGGAGCCATGAGGAGGTGAGAGATGAGTCTCTTGTTTGGTAGTTAAGAGATCCTGGAGGAAAATTACTAGATGTCTGTAATAATTTAATTGCATTAGTCTATTGTAGCAATCATTAGCTCTTTTTGTGTCTGAAACTGATTCAACCTGCTCTAGTCTGGATTTTATCATTTATGGAGTGCAATAAGGAGGAGGCCATCGGGGCCAAAGACATTGCGGAGAAGAAGATGCAAAATGGGGATTTTTCAGGGGCTCTTAGAGTTGCAGCCAAGGCCCAACAACTTTTTCAGGATCTGGAGAATATATCTCAGATGATAATGGTGTGTGAGGTGCATTGTGCTGCTGAGAAACGATTGTGTGGTAATGAGATGGATTGGTATGCCATGCTTAAGGTTGAGCCGACAGCTGATGAAGCTACAATCAAGAAGCAGTATAGAAAATTTGCCCTTAGACTTCACCCTGATAAGAATAAGTTTCCTGGTGCGGAAGCTGCTTTTAAGTTGATTGGGGATGCACAAAGGACTCTTTTGGATCAAGGTAAAAGATCTGCATATGACATGATACGCAAAGTGACCGTTAATAGACCTAATCCAGCAGCAGCATATCGTCCCCCACAGAAGCCAAGTTGGTACCCACATGCTGCGGCTCAGCATAATTTCTGTGCCAACTTTCCTGGCGTGAATGCTCAACAGCAGTCTCAACCGCACGGACAACAACCCACTCAAGCAGGGTTCTCCAATGGCCGGCCCACTTTCTGGACCAAGTGTCCATACTGTACAGTTACATACCAGTACTATACAGATGTACTTCACAGATCTCTTCGTTGTCAAACTTGCAACAAGACCTTCATTGCCTATGATTCAGGTGCAGTTCCACAGGCAAGTAAAATGAGTCAGCCAAAATTTCCCCAACAAGATGTTGTGCAGAATCAGGGTGCTTGCAAAGTTGGTCAAGGATCTCAAAGGAATTTCACTACTGAGAATATTTTTACAGCATTTTCTCCAAACGCAGCTCGCGCTTCAGAGGCTGGAAGGGAAAAGGTGAATGGTAAAAGAGGATGGAAGCCAACCATTGAATCCGGTGAAAGCAGCATCGAGTCTGAGGAGCATATGGTGTTTGAAAACAATGGTGAAGTTCTGGCTGGAAAGAAGTTTGATTCTCAAGTGGAGCAGAATGTACGGAAATCTGGTAGGCTTAAGCAAGATGTTTCATATAAGGAAAATTTAAGCGATGAGGAGGACATGGCTAGTCCTCCAAAAAAGGCTAAGGGAAGTGAATCATCCTGTGCAACTGAAGATAGTGAAGAAATGCTGAAAGAAGACGAGTCTACACACAAAAATCAATCTGGTTTAGCTCGTGAAGTGAAAGAAAATAAGAAAGCAATGGACCACAGAGAAGCCAAAAATGTTGAGGCAAGCTTGCCCAATGGTAAGAAGGGAATTGGGAAAGGATTTGAAATGGAAACAGCCAAAGGGGATGATCTTAAGAAGACTAGGGAAGCTTATGCTGATGGTATTAAGAGAAATTCAAAACACGTTGTTGATGATTCTGTGTCAGATTCGAGTTTCAAAGAAACAAACGATCCCCTGGTTTTTGCATACCCTGAGCCAGAGTTTAATGACTTTGACAAAAAGAAGGAAGGGTGTTTTTCAGTAGGGCAGATTTGGGCTTTGTACGATACGCTGGATGCCATGCCTAGATTCTATGCTCGGATCAGAAAAGTCTTCTCTTCTGGTTTCAAGCTGAGGATAACCTGGCTAGAACCGGATCCAGATGATGAGAATGAAATACAATGGGTCAGTGAAGGTTTACCCGTTTCTTGTGGTAAGTTCAAACATGGGGACTCTGAAAACACTGAACATCGTCTCATGTTTTCCCATTTGCTATCTTGGGAAAAAGGAACCTGTAGAGATACCTACAAGATATTTCCAAGAAAAGGAGAAACTTGGGCCCTTTTTAAGAACTGGAATATCCAATGGAAGTCTGGTACTGGCACTTACCAGAAATTCGAATATGAATTCGTTGAGATCTTATCAGAGAATGCTGAAGGTGTAGGTATACGAATTGCTTACTTGACTAAGGTGAAAGGCTTTGTGAGTGTCTTCTGTCAAATGAGTAAGGATGGAGTTGATGCATTTCTAATTCCACCCAATGAACTATTCAGGTTTTCACACAGGGTTCCGTCTTTTGTACTGACTGGTGAAGAGAGAAAAGGGGTGCCAAAAGGTTCCTTTGAACTCGATCCAGCTTCTTTGCCTGAAGAAATTGTTGTTCCCAAGGACTTGAAGGTTGAAGGTGATAGCAGACATCTTAATAGTTCACCTACAAGTGCTTCAGAATCAGTGAAGCCAACGGTTGGATCTGATAAACCTGCTCCTCCAGCTTCGCCTCTGAAATCCTTTGTCATTCCAGAATCAGAATTCTGCAATTTTGATGCCGAAAAAACCCAGGACAAGTTTCGCGTTGGTCAGATCTGGGCTATGTATTGTGATGAGGATGGCTTGCCAAAGTACTATGGTGGGATCAAGAAAATTGAGTCCAACCTAGTTTTGAAAATACATGTGAGATGGCTTCTTCCTTGTTCATCGAGAACCACAATTGAGTGGTATGATGAAAACATGCCCACTTGTTGTGGTAGATTTAGGATTAGAAAGGGTTCCCAGGCCTACTCCACTGATTCCTTTTCTCATTTGTTGACAGCAGAGTCTACTGGTAGGAAGGATGAATATACCATCATACCTAGAAAGGGTGAGATCTGGGCATTGTATAGGAACTGGACTCCTAAAATTAAATGTTCCGACTTGGAGAACTGGGAATATGACATAGTGCAGGTTTTGGAACAAACTGATTGGTGCATAAAGGTATTAGTTTTAGAGCGTGTGGATGGATTCAATTCCGTTTTCAGGGCCCAAGCAAAAGGAGGGTCTAATGTTACAGTTGAAATCCCTGAGGTGGATCAGCTTAGGTTCTCTCATCAGATTCCATTTTTCCAGCTATGGGAAGAGAGAAATGGCAGCCTAAGAGGGTGCTGGGAACTTGATCCTGCAGCATTGCCAGTACATTATTTTTCTTCTTAATTTGAGTAGCAAGATAAGAAGTCTAATGCTGTCTTTTTTTGCACCTTATATATATACATTACATGCTCTTCCGGTCAGATGCCGTCTAATGATGTCTTTTTTCTTTCCCACAAGGCATTATCATGTCTAAAACACAATTATTGTGGGAGACTGTTTCAATTAATTAGGTGTAACTGGATGCTTTTAGTTCTTAATCTCATTGAATCATGTTCTGATGTTAAATTGTAACATGAAATATCTTTTGAGTGAACGCAATTCTGTCTGTTCATTGCAGATCTGTTTGTTACAACTTGAACCAGTTTACCTTTTTTGAGGATGTGAATGTAACATCCATCAATGTCATCACAGCTCATACCTTTGATTCCTTGAACATGTGAATGCAAGTAAAATTTTTCATTGATAATCCTAACTGTTAACGTTAGAGGTAAAACACATTTAAAGTAATAACCAAATTAACAACTAAGATGACAGTGCAAAGAATTTCTTAAAATGAAGGTAGCAAGAATTTCTTAAAATGAATGTAGCAATTAGCAACTACTTTTAGGAGTGTTCATAATTTTGTTTTAACCGAATTAATCGATTCATTCGATTTAATTTAATTAATTGATCGGTCATCGAATTAATTTTGATTAATTAATAAAAATAATTTTAAAAGAATTTTAATTTTCGGTTAATTTAGTTCGAAAATTAAATTAACCGAAATTTTAATCAAAATATAATATAATATAAATATATAATGAAAAATATATGAAATTGATCATTTTTTTTCATAAATTGTTAGAATTTTAAGATAATACTTTTATTATTGGAATATTTTATTGGATAATTTTATTTAATTTATTTAAAATATAAAAAATTAAGAATTTAAAATGTAATTTAATTTAAATGTATTTATTATTCAATTAATCGAAAAAATTAATTGAACAAACTGAATTAAATTTAATCTGTTAATTTTTGAAATTAACAAATTTAATTTGATTAACGAAAATAAAAAATATAATTCGATCGAACGAATATCCTAATTGCTTTGAATTTTGAGCTTTTTTCTTTGTTCTAATTGGGCTTTTTCGTCAATTCAGGCTGAGCCCATTTAACATCAGCCAGGCCATGAAGAAAAATAATGCTGGGGGCATTCAGAGAATTGAACTCGGGACCTCTCGCACCCTAAGCGAGAATCATACCACTAGACCAAATGCCCGGTTTTCTCTTCCATGTGGCTTGTTTTAAGTGAACATACTTAAATAGCGATCTTCCACGACCATCATTTTCCACCGGAAAAAGCTGACATAACATAACAGGACAATCAAGAATATTCTTTGTCTCTCTCACTCTAAGTAGTCAATACTGCAACCCTAGCCCAAAAGCTAGTTTTTTTGTCTTATTCAACTGTCTCAATAAAGTTCCCTCCAAATCTTGCTTCAATTTTCCCTCCAAAACAATCTGCCTCTATTATTCCCTCCACTTTTGAAACCCTAATCCCTTTCTCACTCTCTCTCTGCTTCCTTTCCTAACCTCTCCTTAGTAAGTTCTTATTTCTACTCCAATTTTGTTTGTAAGCTTTCGCCTAAATTTTTTTTTGTGTAAATTGTCCCTTTCTTTATGTAAAAGTCTATGCTTTTTAGGGATTTAATGAATCGCAGTGAAAAAATGGGTTCTCTTGGAGACAACTATGGCGAAATTAAACCCTCTGAAATGACCCCAAGCACCGATTTTTCACATGCCGAGACTCAACCCTTTGACTTCGACTCTCAGTTTTCCCTTCCTCCCTTTTCTGGTATGTTTCTTTCACTCTTTGATTTTATTTTTAAAGGATCTTAGGGTAATGTCAAGATAGTTTTTTTCTTTTGATTTTTTCCATAAATATTTTACTTTTAGTTATTTATGCTTCAAAGTATTTTAATTTTATGTGAAATACTAATTATTTATGTGAAATATGTGTTTGATTTTTTTTTTGAAAGGTGACAAAGCTGATATTGAGGATGGTGTTGAATTAAACTATCTACAAAGTACGGTTCCTTTCGATGATAATAATGGTCTCGCCGATTATGAATTGGAGACCCAAGTTTTGAACCTTGGTGGTGAAACTCAAGTGTTGAACTTTGGTAGTGAAACACAGGTGTTGGATGATTTAGATTGCTTTGAGAATATGGAGACGCAATTGTTGGATGAATTCAATGACGAAGTTGCTCCGGATAGCGACGGTGAAGGAACGGATGGAACTGAGGTTTTGGATGATGATGATGAGGTCTCCAATAATGAGGTAGTAAGAGGAGATTGTGGTCAATCGTTGGGCCAGGAGGAGAAGAAGGAATCTTTGGAGCAATGTAATGCTTCTATTGATGAACAGAGGAGTTCGGGTACATTTTTCTGAACCTTTTAGGAAAATATTGAAGTATCTGCTTGAAATGCCTGTATGTTTTGTATGTCTGTGAGTTGTTACTGGTGTCTTAATTGAAGTTAAGATGTGCTGTGTGTTTCAGGAATCCATGTTTCCACAGCAACACCGGATGTCAAATCTGTGCCAGAATCGAAATGTGGTATGTTTTCCTTGGTATCTGCATGGTTACATTACATGTGCATGACTATTGTCAAGGTTTTCTAAGAATTTCTCAGTAAAACAATTTAAATCCACTAGTCCTTGTCCTCTTAGGTGATACTTATCACTCAACAATTTGATGAAGCAATCTGATAACCTTTTATAGCACTTTTGTTTATCCTTGTGCCCATGCTGCATTTGCTGTCATAAAAAATGTATGCAAGATTGAGCCACCTTCATGAACCAATACACATTTGTTGCAGAGAAAATTTTTGGATTACCCTGAGGAAAAGTACTGAGCTAAATTCTGTATCTCAACAACATTTCCACATTATTCCTGTTTTAATCTAGATCAACTGTGATTATGAGTTCCTGATCTTGAGTTGTGACATTCCCTTGAAAGCAGTTCTTAAAGTGATTTAATTTGTAAAAGTAATTGGCATTTGGAAGCATTGTCATCTCACCTTCCAACATTAAAAGATGGTGGACAATAATGTTGGTCAATTTAAATGACACACAGTCCTTTCATTTCTCTATTAACATTTGTTATTTTTCATAGGATCTGTGCGAAGGTTTACTTCAGTTCGTGCAGCATCCTTGCGGGCCTCTGGTCTTGTAACTCGCAAAGCAGCATTACAGGGAATGAACAGTGGATGTTCCATCTGGACCAATAGTCAGTTTTCAGATCACTGCACAGTCGATAGTAATGGCTTAAATCCTAAAGTTGTGGACAAGATTAGTCAGGCGCATGAGCAGGGGAATTATGAAAAGAACTCAATTGGTTTAAGGCATGGAATCAATTTCAGGGTTGGTTATTCAACTGCAAGAAAACTTTTTGCCGAGGATTACTTTGCTGAAAATCAAGGACTTCCTTGCAGCAGTGAAAATGTAGATGCAAGAGAAGACTTGCTCCGGATTCCTGATTGTGATGGTCCATTAACAGGTTTAAGTTATATTGACTCTCAAGAACCTGGGGAGTTATCACAAGCTAATGCCCTTAATTTTGTGGAAAGATTTGTAAATGATAATTTGATGGAACTTGATGATGAAGTTGATCTTGGAAAGAGTGTAGGAGGAAAATCAAAATTTATTTCGTGTGCAAAAGGGCCACAAAGTTTGGCCAAGAAAACTATTGAAAGAAGCACAGCTGGTGAAGAAGGGATTTTTGACTGGGATGATTTGCTGGAGGATGAAGGAGGTGGTGATATCTATTGTAGAAGGAAGGAAGAATTTTATGGTAATAGACGCTATGCACAAAAGTCTTCTAGCCACACCCAGAAGCCTAAAGGAAGGAAACTAGATGAATCTTGTAATAAAGACCAACCAAAGTCCCATGATAAAATGATAGTTCATTCTGATTTAAAATTTTTGTTGTGCAAGTCAAAAGATAATGACAAGACACTACGAAAAGGTCAAATGAGTTTTAGAAAGAATCTTATCAATGAGTTTGATGAACAATTTAACTCAAATTCCTCAAGAGGACAATTGGAAGCCAATGCTGCAAAGACAGGTGCTGCTAAAGAATTAAATGTAGGTTTCGACACTCAGATGGCTGCTGAAGCTATGGAAGCCTTATTCTATGGGGAGGCAGCTACTGACCAGAATGCTAATCAAGGTGTCCAAACCATATCTAAGGGTTCCTCTAAAGGCTCATTTAGAGGAAAATCTGGGAAGAGAGTTTCTTCTAGAGAATGCACATTGAGAAAGGGCGTTTCTTGTTCTGTTGCTGTTCCAGTTACAAGACGTTCCAAGAGAACTAAGTCAGGTAAAGAGTCTTCAGTTTTGCGGGAGAAACATCCCAAGAATGTCAGGAAGGAGTGTGATATAGAGCTGCTTCTTCCAAAAATGAAGAAAGCTAAACCAAATACTGATGAGCCCCAAATTGCTGGTGGAATTGATATGGACAAGATGCCCACTAAGAGTGTCAAGCAAAGAAAGGCAGATGGAGCTTTGGAAAGGAGTCAACTTAATGAAACTGGAAAATCAACTAGGGGCCTCTCAATTAAGAAACGGCATCATGAGGAGGTTCATACTATTATTGCTCATCAAAAGAAGCAGTCCTTAATCACAAGTATGCAAATGGCTGAGACTCCGGCCAGTGACTGTAGAAAAGGTAGAAAACATAAAAAAGAGGTTGGTTTCCTTGAAGAAAATAAAACTGGGAGTACAGATGTTAAGTTATCTGAAGTGTCAAATGCTAAAGGGCAACTTTCTAAGTTGCATTCCAATCAATCAGGAGAACATGGAAATGCAAATGTCAAATCAAGTGATAATGACCGATTGCAGTTGGAGCTGATTGTGAGGAGTGATGGCAATCATGCATTGAGCAATCCCAAACAAAGATCCGGCCAGAAAATGTCCGTTGATGTTGGTGAATCTGATAACTTTGAAGCACAGTCCAAAAAACCTGTTCAGCAAGATGACAATGGACAATCAATTGCTGTGCCCAAAAGGTCCAGAAGAAACAATAGAAGCACATGCATTCCTTCAACCACTAGGAGGATAACACGATCATCTGTGAATACTTGTCCAGTTCTTTATTTTGCAGACCAGAATTCAGAAGGAAATTTGTCTCATCAAAGTTCAGATAAACAAGGTTCAGTGGATGATACACCTAATTGCAATTCTACTGAGAAGAATGGGAGGATGATATCAACAAACATAATTGGGCCTGAGGCAGCAAAGGCAGTCAAGCACTCTGGTGGAAACCCTGATGCAGTTTCTTCGCCAATTGCAGAAAGCACTCTGGTGAATGTTGCTTCTGATAAATTGCTGAAAGAGAAATCGAGATCAGCTGGTTCTGTATGCACTACGCCAGTTAACTGTCCAGCGCCTATCAATGCTGCATCACCTGTTTGTATGGGTGATGAATATTTTAAACAATCATGCAAGAGCCTGTCAAAACCTTCACTTATCAAAGAACTCAGAAGTTTAAACCCCATAGAGCCAGAACCTATTTCTCCCTTAAAAGATATGAGGAAGAGAAGGGATTTGGCTAATGTTAGAGTCTTGTTCAGCAACCACCTAGATGAGAATATAATTAAACAGCAGAAAAAGGTACTAGTTGATTCATGGTATCATTAGCTGTTAAATGATATAAAAGCTCATCTAACTAAATCTTATGCCTCAATTTTGTTACCAGGTCTTGGCCCGCCTAGGTATCTCTGAGGCATCATCTATTTTAGATGCGACACACTTTATAACTGATAAATTTGTGCGCACTAGGAATATGTTGGAAGCAATTGCTTCTGGCAAACCAGTTGTCACACATTTATGGCTTGAAAGCATTGGACAGGTTAATATTCACATTGATGAAGAAGCTTATGTATTGAGGGATATCAAAAAAGAGAAAGAGCTCGGCTTTTGCATGCCAGTTACTTTAGCACATGCACGCAAGCGACCCTTATTACAGGTAAAATTTTCTAGGTTTACCTGTTGCATTGGCCGTTTGGTCCATTTAGATTTTTACTATAGTGAAAGTTATGCAGGGTCGAAGAGTTTTAATCACCCCAAATACGAAGCCGGGTAAAGAAACAATCTGTCATTTGGTGACAGCAGTTCATGGTCAGGTATGTGGGTAGTTCCCTAGGAAATTCCTTCAGAGTAGCATACAGAAAAGATTGATTAATTTTTGTTTATAATCTATTGGTCACTATGACTTGTGCCATGGATGGTTTTGTCATGAACATTTAGATTATATTTTAGGTTGGCTGCTGTGTCTCCCCTTTTTTCTTCTGTACATGACTTTGTACATGTCTCCGTCAAACAGTCAACCTGTCCATCCTTGGTGCTTTTAATTGATACTTTTAGATGCTTGTAAATCCTATTAAAATATTAACTCCTTTTCTATGCTGATTTGGCTTGAGATGCTTTCCAGGCACTAAAGAGAATTGGCAGATCTGCTCTGAAGGATGACAAAGTCCCAGATGATTTGTTGGTTCTATCATGTGAAGAAGATTATGCAATTTGTGTCCCTTTTCTTGAGAAAGGTTAAATGTTTTCTTGAATTATCTCCTTACATGTTTTGTGAAATTCAGTTTTTATTAGAACTTTTTGCTGTCTTTATGCTTTCAGGGGCAGCAGTTTATAGTTCAGAGCTGCTACTGAATGGAATAGTTACTCAGAAGCTCGATTATGAGAGGTTGGTACTATAATTATGAATATCAATCTCTTCATTTCTGTTTACTTTTGTTGCAAGGGAGCATGGATGTCAACCATCATGCACATCAGATAAAAAAATTCATGTTGCATGCCCAAATGGTTGTCAAAGCTTCATGAGTAGGACCGGTTTTGTTATTTTCTTGTTCATGGATCTCGAAATTGTGCTAGTGATAAATAACGAGTTCTCTGATGGGCTTCATTGTTCTGTGTCGGCTGAGATGATCAATGGTTTTCATTTGTTGCTTTCCTAACAACTTGTATCTACTCGCAGGCATCGGCTCTTTGCAGATCATGTTAGAAGAACACGCTCTACCATATGGCTGAGGAAGGATAATAAATTCCTCCCTGTGACAAAAGCATAAATGATGTTTTCTGCTTTCTTTTTTATTTTATTTTATTATTTTCAGCTTCCTCTGATCTTTCTTCTTGCTCTTTTTTCCCCCTTTCCCTGGTGTATCATCTTCCTTTTTAGGTCGTAAATGCCTAGATATATGTTTGTTTTATTTTTTTTTCCTTTAATTTGTTCATAAATTTAACATCATGTATATTTCCAACATATATTAGTATAAATTTGCTGTAACTTTTTCTTAATGAAAATTCTTTTCTGATCCATATACTTGATCAAGCAATCATCAAAGTGTATATTAGAATTTGTCAATGTTATCTAAATATAAATGATTTACTACTGATATCTTTCATTTTAGCTGTGGTTTATAGGCTTGCAACACATGCTGCATTCCCTCCGGACCAGTCAAGCATATTTATTTGCATCGAAATTTAACGAATTTATAAAAGTATTTTTAATAAAGTTATGAAAAATTAGTTTCTTGACGAATTCCAACTTGAACCTAAGCAATTACAATTAAAAGAAGAGCAAACTTTTTTGTCATTTGAACAAACATTTGTTAGCTGATTTGAACCTGAACCCAAGCAAGCAGTTAAGAGGGGCAATTTTTTTGCCATTGGAACCAACATTGTTGAAAAGATTCGAACCTAAGCCATTAAGAGGAGCAAACTCGTCACTTGAACCATGAACGGCGAGTTAGTTTGTTAACATCAGAGTCAACTTTAGGAGTGAAAATGCTTGATCTTTGGAGAAAAAAAATGATACTTGTGAGGCCAATTTTGCTTCAGTAAACTTATAATACAACACTCCATAATGCTGCTGCAAACAGCTTCAACCTAATGCTGCAGGATAGTTACACTTGATTTTTATACTTGAATTCATTATACTTCAGCAAGAAATACGTACAAACTAGGGCCTAGGTAAATAAATAGCATAAAAATGCAGGACCCTCTCATTTCACCATATCCAATCATACTGGGTTAGAATTTTGGGCAACCTGAACCCTCCAAGCAAAACAGTGGATATACATCGAATTGAGTGTCATAGCTATCCCGAAACTTAACAATGCCGAAAGCAGTATAGCAACAACAGCCTTCAGATGGAGCTGCAAACACATTTAATGGCCTCAATCACAATTAGTTGAAAAAAAGTAATTTCATGCACATAGTTGGATTATCTCCACCAACATGTCAAGTTTCCGTTTCTGGATGTATTAAAGCATTCAAAACATTTCTATTGATACCATCAATGAGAATTGCGTGCAAAACGATGCTAGTTTTCGAGAGAGAGACATCACTAGAGTAAAGGATAGAACAAGATAGGCCTATACGTTACCAAATATAGTAGATTGAGCAGAATATTATAGAATGCTTTAGTTATTGCTCACCAGGCTATACAATATATGGACAATTAATGCGACGAGTGCAAATTCAAGAGCTGCATATGTCCATGTATACTCCTTGATTGCTGCAAGCCAAACAAACAAACATTAAGACAATCACAATTCATACAGAAATCTAATTTCTGATGCTCAGCCATACCTAAGATGACTGCAAAGATAGATGCTAAGAGGCCCAGGGTAAACGCAAATGGTGCTGCGATCACAATTGCTTGAGTCTTCATTTTCTGAATCTACAAAATTAGGAGGCGTAAAATCAACATTGTCAAGCCAGTGAGGATGATGATCAATATAGAATGCCATTTGTGTATAAATTAACAAGCAAAAAGAAAAAGATAGGAACTATAAATAATTCATGGAGTATAAAACAGTGATATTAATATAAGTTTGCAAGTATAATTACGAATATTGGATCAATTCAACATATGCATGTTTTGAAACTTAAAAGGCTAAGCTAAAGCCAGGTTTCCTCTTTTTATGTTGTGCTATGTACTCCACAATTGTGATTGTGTTCTTCATTTTACTTTGGGATAAGTCGAACTACTGTTGTATCTCGATGACCCAAATCAGTGATAAATATTGCTAATAAAATGTTGGCTCATGACATTTTTTGCTCTTCCATGCTCTGGTTACAAACTAGGTTGAGCCATTAAGTTAATAGGCTTGGATAACATCCAATTCAGCAAAATAAAAAGATCAATTCCATTTTAAGTTTTGAGTAAGGCAAAGCCGCATACCAGTAGCTGCTCAAGGAAGAAGAAATAGCAAATTGTGCTAATTAACACAAGCACCACAAAATCCTGCCATGCGCTGCATATTTGAGGTAAGTTTTTAAATTAGAAAAAAGAGAAAAAGGGTAATTATCAAGAAACTATTACGCTGTAGAATAGTTATTGATGTTATATTGTTGACTTGCCCAGCAGTGAACTTAGTATTGGTAATGCTAAGCAAAAAGTTTTAAAAGAAAGGGAAGAATGCTTGAGAAATGAAACAAAGATCTAAATTAAAACAAGCATTTGAAGAGTATGCCATTAGATTCAAGTTCATTATCAAAGTGTCACGGTTTAAGATCAACCATAATTTGGTGCAAGATAACTAGATTAATAGCTGATACTACCTCACAGTTTCTGATCGTTCGTTCTGTGAATTAACGTTCTGTCTATTACCCCTTCGAGCATTAGTAGGCACCCGCAGCAAAGTTACAGGTAAGTTCCGCACTTCTTGCCCACATACATCACAATTTTTGTTTCCTTTTGTACTAAACCATTTAACGGCACATGCCTCATGCACAAGTTGGAGGGCACCTTTGCAGCTGCATTCCATTTTGAGTGTATTTCCCTCTTCACATACATCAAAACAGATTCTGCACACAGCTTCCTCTTCAGGAATCTCCTCATCATTGCTTTCCACAGGAACAACATTAATTTGATCTGCATTACCAAAGGAACAGGAAAACAACCTAAAAGACCAAGATTGATAAACCAACCATAAATAAAGTCAAAAGTTGAAAATACCAAGTTGCAAGTCCAGACAATTTGTGTGGTCAAATGTGCTAGACTAAGCAGCTCAAATTATAGGATTATTCAATTACTATGTATAAAACCAAGCCCAATACTGCAGTCACTGATCTTGTAGAAGAACTTTATGTTGCTTGTGGAAAAAGATACAACATTCATTTGATTTATTCAACTTTAAACTACCAAACTATTTGACTCCATGTGCTAAAGGAAAACTCATGTCAGACAAGTTTGTGGAGCTATGAGTTGAAGCAATGAAACTAAAGAAACTCAAATAATAGGAATAAAAAAAACTAAAAATAGCCATCAAGTGTTTGTACCATCATTGTTATCTGCAGTGACATGCTCTTTACGGGTATCAAAAGATGCAGATCTTACTATAACAACATTTCGTCCAGGCACCGACAGGGACCTGGAAACCACAGCACGCGACGTTCCTTTCTGCATAAAAATTACTGTAACCATCTCAAAATGCTTTTAAATTATTTTTACACATCTCAAATACGACCTAACATAATTCCTTTTTTTGGCCTTTCATACAGCCAACCCTACAGTTATGGGATATAAGGCTAAGTTTGTTGTTGTTGTTATTGACTTGGAGCTTTTTCCCATATAAATATGGGGGAAAAAGGGGAAGGAAGTTAGCCTCTAAAGAAGGCGTTAGAAAGTGACAATACATGGTCATCTTCTGCTAAAAAGAAAACTTTTGGACTTTCCCATTGTTACAACAGGGGATATTTTCAGTTTTCATCATGCCAGTTCAATAGAGAGCTTAAATGAGGTGAAGGATGTGTGAATAGGCAGTTGATTTCCTAGAAAACGACAAAAATAGGTCTTGACAAATTGGATGATGTAATTTTTTGGCATAATATATATGCTAGTACCCAAATTTTGCTCCAGACAGTTGCTTGAATTAAATTTTCAATAGCCGCAATAGATAAAAGTATAATTCAAAGTTCATAAAATTTGTCCGAACTGAATGAACTGAACGATACATACATTTGATTTATTCTGTTCACCAGCCATTTTTTCTGAAGCAGGCACGTTAACTGACGGGAACAAATTTGATGCAGGTGTAACAGGCAGAGATGTACATCTTTTCGAATAAAATGGGGATGGAAAACTAGCCATATTAGAACTTTCAGGACCTGTCTTGCTGTCTGGAGTGAGGAGAGAGCTTCTCTCACCATCAGCTACAACAACTTTTTTCTTGAAGCTTAAGCCATGTAAGAAGCCTCCTGGTGATGAATTACCTTTACCAGAACCCTGGGAGTGTAATAAACCCTTTCCACTACAGCTACCAAATCCTAGTGGTTTAGGGGGTACTCGAAGTGAAAGATCTGAGCGCCTACCACTTGGTCCAGGTTTTGAAACTTCTTTATCTGAGGGTTCCAGAGTTGGAAAATTTGCCTGCAAGTTATGAAGGTTTAATGCAACTTCAATCATTTCTTTAATAAGCCCCGCAAAACATTCAACAGTATAAGAAATCATATGACACCTCTGATCAGATGATATGCCAATTACAAACTCAGAATCTTCTTCCTGGATAAATTATGATAAAATCTGAAAATTGGATGCCGTTCATGCCAAACATCTAGGCTAGATCCGAATCGGTATTTCATATAAGTGGTCGTGGACATGGTCATTAGTCATGATTAATAATTAACAGCTCCTAAATTTGAGGTCTTACCTTGAAAAGGCCTCGATTTGGATCTAGAAAAGAACAAGGTAAACAAAAGGGAGATGGCCATTGCCTTTTGGCTCAAAAAATTAGGGTGTTGTGTCTCCTTGATGAAGCATTTACATAATTTTCTTGTCCCAGCTCCTATTTTTTCCAATATTCAGAAGGAACAATCCTTTATTTCTTTGATTACTTTCAGGAAATGCTATAAAAAAAGAGGAAAAAAGAAAAGCAAAAGCAATGATCCTAACAATATGCATACATTTCATGATATTGCCTTCATGAAATTGGATCACCCAACAACTCCCACCCCAAAAAAGGGAGGAAAATGAAAAAGAAAAAAAAGATATTCCCCCATGGCTAATGCTATTGCTAATATAGTGCATCCAACTATGCAAAAAGAATTACCCAAAACAAAAAATAAATATTGCTAGCCATCTCCTACGTACCTTAATAATTAGGATATAAAATATTAAAACCACTTAAGTTGGATAGAAAAAAAAAGATATAAAATCATTAAGGAGACCAACAATTAAACCGTCACAACGACTTGAGATTATTATCAACAATTTTTTTAAGGTAAACAAAAAACTATTCCTAGTTATTTCCTTTAGAGACCTTTACCAATTACCATTGAGAGATCAAAAGAAATCTACGCATAGAATTTTTTCTTATAAAAGGGCTTTATATACTGACGCCACAGCTTAACTCAGTTCATACAGCCGCTCTTAAGAGGTGACATACGTCTAGGATTCAATTTCTCTATCTTCACTACAGCCCCATTGAAAAAAAAAAAAAAAATACTTCATACACCACAAAAATAAGCTAGTAAAGACACCCTAAAACATTGCAATTATCAGCAATCTCAGATCATAAGGCAACATTCTAAAGAAACAAAATTTAACTACCAAATTAAACAAAGCAAAATCTACTTTCAACACAATAGAAAGCCCCCAGTAAAGGAAATATTATAAAACTCTTACCATTTTCTATTCGTCTTATTGAAACTTTCTTTCAAAATAATAGAATTAGAAACATAAATCCTTCAACCATTTTCTAAGTACTAAAATTAATGAACTTTTAGAAACCCATATCAGGAAACTAAAGCAAAACATATATAAAAAAAAAAAGCATAATTTTGTTTATATATCTATCTATAGAAAGGTAAAAAAAGAGTGATCAAGAAGAACCTGAGAAGAACCATTAGCAACTCCATTGCTGACAGCTTCAGCTTCAGTTTCAGTTGCAGTTGCTTGCATTGTTAATTCTTGGGTAAGCCCGCAAGAATCCCAAGAAATTAAATATAAGAAAAAATAAATAAATAAAAGAAAAAAAAGAATAAACCCCACAAAGATTGAGATTGAGAAATGAAGGATCAAAAGACGGTGCAAAGATAGTAATATACGAAAAAAGCAAATCTATAAAATTTTTACTTTGTAATAATATAAATAATAATAATAATTTTATATAAAATTAATAATTATATATTATGCTATTGACCAAGATTTCCATAATTTTGACGAGTTGAGGAAATGGGATTGTGTGGTCTGGTCGGAGTCACTTGGAAAATGACGAGAAACACTTGTCTCAACGAAACACCACCCTTACTTTTCGTTTCTTTGCCGCTTTGTCATGTCGTTTTATTTGCTTTCCTACTTACCTGCGATTATAGTGCATTTCCTACTCGCTTTGGATGGTGGCCACGTAATCATTGTGTCATTTCTTTAATTTTAATTTTTTAATTTTTTAATAAACATAATTGAAAAGTAGTAAATAAATAATAAAAAAAACTTACCACTTCCTTAAATGCATACAATGAAAAGCTTAACCTTTTAGTTTCTTTTCTTCTCATTTTAATAATGTTTTTATGATTTAATGCTTCAAGACTAATGTCCATAATCATAGGGATTTGTTAGATTAAAATAAATTATTGAGTAAATTTTAGAAAATTTTTATAATTTTTTCTATAAAAATAAACTATGGTATGATTTATTTAATTAATTTAATTAATTGGTGCATGATTTTTTATCCAAAAATAAATTTAAATACCTCTTTCTTAAATTAAAAAAAAAATTCAACTTGAAAATATATTTTAATTGTCACTTTTATACAAAAATAATTAAAATAATACAATAATATATTGAAAAAAATATAATGCAAATTATTCAACCCATGATATTTTCATGTGAGAGTGGGATTGGTATGCATGTGAAGGAAGCGAGTGGGAGGATGGAATAAATTGGGGAGTTATGGGGTAGGTCTATGGTTAACATCATTCATTCATTACCCTTAAAATAGTTGGGAAAATTCCCATATCCAAACAAACCTTTGTTTAATTAAACTAGTGAAAGTCCATATTATTTTATTTTATTTTTTATTTTTAACTATGTTTGGAAGAAAAAAATGGGGAAGGGGAAAAGTGTGAGGAAGTAAAGATAGGTTTTATAGTTTCAAATATTTTAAAAAAAAAAGACAGGGATAATAATTTTTTTTACCTTTTTCTTTTGCTAAATTTTATACTTTTTTCCAAATTATTTATTCTCTTTTTACTCCTTTGTCTCAAATTATTTGTATTTATATTTTTAAAGAGTTTAAAATAAAAAGTTTATTTTAATGTATTTAATATTAAAATTTTAATTTTTATAAAATTGATTTTTAAAATTTTATATAAAAAAAAATTTATGAAAAATAATCTTAAATATAAATTTAAACACTAATTTTGATCCTTGTTATTAATAATTCTCGTTAATAAAAAAAATTTATAAATCTAATATAAATTCAATCACTAACTCTAAAATAAAATAATTTCCTTTTACTTAAACTTTTGTAATAAAAAATAGTTGGAATAGTTAGAAATTTAAAATACCAAGTAACTAGCAATGAGAATTAATTTTATATTTTTTATTAAAAAAATTATATTTTTTAAAAAATAAAAAATTCATTTATATTATTGTAATTTTTATTAAAATTAAATTTATGACTTATTTAAATTAAAATAATATTTTTATATTTAATAAATTTAATTCTAGTGCTAAAAAAATATAAAAATTACACTATGTAAATAAAATTTATTTTTTCTAATGTGTAAAAATTGAAAAATACAACCCAAAGAAAAAACCCTAGCATTTTCTCAAATTTTCTGTTTACCCAGTGTCTCGGATCTAAAGAACCCAGCCACCCATCTATTTTTTGCACCGCCGAAAGGATCCCACCTGCAGCGGCGACGGCGGTTAGTTATACAACGGTGACGGTTGCTTCCAAGCTTACTGCTATTTCATCCTCTCCTCAAGCAGCTCTAGGTTACTTAATTTTTCCTCTTTGAAAATTTTCCAAAACAATAACTGAATTCACATTTTTTATTAATCAATCAAATATTAGTCTTCACAATTTATAACTTCTGTTCTTTTAAATTACTAAATAATTTAGTATTAATTTTGTGCAGAAAAAAAGAAAAAATGGGTATAAAGTTTCTTGATTGGTATTTGAAGATTGCTGTTGGATCTGCTCTGATTGGAGGTTCAATGGAGTTGTTCATGATCAAGACTGGTTTCTGTGTGAGAACCCTCCGATTTTTTTTTCTCTTTCAATTATCTACATTAATATCATTTCAGCATGTTAAGATTTAATTCTTCATAAGAACAAAAGGGTAGTTATTGACACTGTCAGGCTCGAGCTCGGTTTGACTGGAAAAACTCAAAATTTCATTGCATTCATAATTTAACGTCTTGCTGCTATTAGGCTATCACTGTATCGAAAGCAAACATCATTGAACATTAGTCTCGGTAAAAGCTTACAGATGGGTTGAAAGAGAACAGGCTTGAACTGTTATTTGCTACCCTTAAATCTCAGTTGCTTACTGTTAAACATAAAGGAAGATGGATAAGGTATCTAACTATTTTTAGGAAAGATAATAGGCTGAGTATGGTTATCAAATGGTTGTACATACCATTTGGTATGTTCATTGTGCCACGTTGCCATGTTCTGGTGCATCACACTTGATTGAGTTTTTAACTTTCTTATGTTGTAGATGACAAGGTGACTGTTCTGGAGTCGGAGAAGCGAGCTTGGGAAAGTTCCCCTGAAGCTCAAGCAATGAGAGAAGCTCTTAATCCTTGGAGAAATCCTGATGCACAAGAACGAAAAAATCCCTAATGGAGCAACCTCTAGAAATGGGTCTTGATGCTGTTTTATTTGTTTTGAATAATAGATTTTCCCAGCATGAAGTTTGATGTACAGCAAAATACATTTGCTGGCGTCAAGAACGGACCGATCCTTCTGAGCTTTGATGCCTATTCTGAAATATAGTTTGAGTAGAAACTCGCTTATTGCCTCTCTTGTAGAATAGTTTTATTGACTGGTAGGTCAAATTTTGGAACTACTATAGTTATGAAGCTTGATTGGTGTGCCATTTATCCTAAAGATTACTAATACTACTTTTGGTTTCTTCCTTTCATACTTTAACTTATTTATCTGTTGGTTTAAATCAAATGTTTAGACTGATAAGGTGTCTGATATGAACGAAACATGGTTGATAATGTTTAGAGCGTTCCGGTAGTTAAGAACATCACAATCTTTTTTGTCATCGATTTACTTTGAGATAGGTATAACAGATTTGTGTCTTCATTGGTAGTATTTTGCAGAGGGCAATTTGATTGGTTATTTCCCAAAAAATATCTGATAATGTTAGTTTTACACTTCCAAATAACCAATGAAAAGAATATTGAAATTCATCCTTGAACTTTGCTTGCAAACATTGCATGGCTGTGCAAGTATTATTACTTGATGCTGCAAAACTAATCCATAACAGAGGATCAGAGACTCTTTACCCTTTATCTTATCCCTAAATATCCATCCAATTATGTGATTGTCAAGGAGTAAGCAGAACATTGATCAAGTAAATGTTCAAGTATGTATGACTGCTAATTTGCTTCATTTGGTCATCCTGAGCTATCATCTGTCATCCTAAATTGCATGCTCACCAGACCCCAATAACCATATTTAGAGTTAAATTCATATATATATATATATGTATATATATATTCTATAAATTAAACCACTTGACTATGATCTTTTACCTCTCTTCCATTTTCGGTATGTTTCTAAGCAGCTTCATCTTAAAGAAACTGTTTCAATCTGTTTCCCAGTTTTATCAATTGTATGTGCTTTTTCCTAGCTAATATGAATCCAGTTTAGACCTTTCTTTTTCCTAGTATTTTGACATTAGACATGGATACAACACATGGACCTAGTCTCTGCAAGAAGAGAAATTTAGTGCTGATGTTTCGAATGAAAAGACAATTAGTGCTCATCACGCTGGAAAAAAAACATCGTTGTAGCTGTGCGTCGGTAGAACCCAATAGCTAATATATGTCAATTGTTTTAAATTATTTGATAGATGAGAACACAAGTCAGAGTGTTCCAATTCCATGTTCTCACCTTTGCCCTTAGCAAAAGCAAAGGATGATCAACTTGGAGTTCCAAATTGCGCGAAGGATTTTTCAAGAATGATTGCCTAAACTCCACGGTGGTCAAGACCTTTGACATGGTGGTCGGTGGTCAGAGCTCTCTGGCCGTTGCTGGATGAGAAGTTAAAATATCACTGTAAAAGCACTTTTTATTCAACCAGAACTTGTTGCCTGGAATAGGTGAACAATGAACATTTTACCACAAGCCAGAAACTGACTACTCTTAATGGTTGGTAACCTTGGTGCCTTGAACAGGTCGCTAAATTAGGATCGATGTGATGGGAATTAAGGCAGTACCACCCTAAGTCATCCTACCATCATATTATCGCCTGCTAGTACAAGTTAAACCAGTACTACTTCTAGATTAATTGGAAGATTAATTAGAACCGAACCAGGGTTTCACCTTCCTACGATTCATGGGGTCGAAATCGACACATGACAATGTGATTGTGATTGGTGATTTAATCTTGTTTGTGGACATAGTCAATCCAATATCCTTAGCTTTAATAATTGCGTTTTGTGACTTACCTAGAAGGCTCTGTTTAGGCCAATTTTTGAACTGGTTCCTGGAATCAAATTCTAGAACAGAAACCCTGTCGTGTGACATGTTGCTGTCTTCCACGGACCAAATACTTCGAGTCTTCAACAATCAACAGGCTGGTTTCGTGTGAAAAGGAACAAGACCATGACTTGAAAAAGCGAAATGGATGGATGACATGAAACCACCAATAAAAATGGTTTTTCAAGCGAGAATGAATGGGTGTAGTGACAAGAACATATTCACAATAAATGATATAAATATGAATCAACATTGGACAGAAACATCAGAACTTACCCAAAGAAAAAAAGTCTTAATAGAACAGTAGGTACCACATAGCTTGAAACATACATGGACAACAAGAATGGAATGGTGGATGTTTCTTGCTTCCTCCTTGTCGAAGATAGCGGGGACTCTGAGCTGGATTGTGAACCAATCAAGCAGTGTCAAAGCATAGAAATATCTGCTGCTGATCATGAAGATGATGCAGAGTCATGTAGCTGTGACACAATCAGAACTGAGAGACTTGATGATTTTTATGAAGTAATTCTTCAACTTGATGAAGACCAAGATTTCATTGATTGTAATGAGCTTGTAGCAGGCTGGAGCAGTGGCAACATGTGGTCTATAGATGAAGCTTTGGGGTATATATCAGCTGATGAGGAGGCAGAAGATCAGGACCCAAGGTTCAGTGTCAATTTATGCAGAGAAGTAATGGATGGCATGGAAGATAGGCTGTTTTGGGAGACTTGCATGGCAGTTGGATACCCATGAATCGATATTTCTTTTTCTCTTTTATTTTTCTTCTTTCCTACCATCATCAGGCCTATTTTTTTCCATTTCTTTTTCTTAATTATTTTGAGATAAGCAAGAATATCAGCTGCACTTTTCTTTCTGGGAAAAATCCTAGGAAAGATTGGACTTTATTTTGAATACACAGTTTTTTTTCCAGAAGAAATCTAGGGTTTTGAGACTGTGTATGTATAGTTGATGTATTAAAAGCTTCAGTCTTAATAGTGAGAAATTTGTTCACAAAAATTATAATATATATATACTTAATTAATAACACATTGATTAGTTTTAAATGTATGTTTTGTTGATTATCTTTCATTACAAGGAACATATTATCTATAATTATTGTGATACAATAATCAATTATAATTTAATATTATGTAAGATCCATTAAAAAATTATGTAAAACCCATACTTTCAAATGATAAATTTTTATATAATTTTTTATTGTGATTGACTAATTATAATAGTATAATAAAAAAAATTGTAAATGAAATACCCCTTATGACCTGTTTGTACTGCTAAAACTTTTGTAAGAAATACTTTTTGAGTAGAGCTATTTTAAAAATGTTTTATAAAAAAAATTAAAAATAGCATTTTCTAAATTTTATGCAAAAGTGTTAGAGAATATTAACAATTATTTTATAGTATTTTTGTATATTTTTTATAAATGAAAAAAATAAAAATCTTAAATTTATGAAAATAAATAAAAAGTTTTTAGACAAAAGCAATAAATAAAATAAAGAGATATTTTTATTAATTACAAATAAAATTAATAGAAAAATTTTATCAAATAAAATAGATGACTATGAAATAATATGATCTTCCTAAAATTTTATGAATAATTAAAGTGTAAAGTGAGTCAAGAAATTTAACTATAAATAAAAAAAATTCAATCCAATAAAGTGAAATACTAAATAATTGGATTTGGATAATTAGTTAATTAATTAACTAATTAAATAGGCGTTTTGGAAAGTAATCCAATTCGAGACATATAAAGGGGTTGGCTGATAAAAGCTTGATTATTGGGCCGCTTATAGGATCCACGCATGTTTGGATTAAATCTGGAGGCCAAAGCGGCCCAACATAGAGGTTGGAGAAATTCTACTCTACCTCATGCACGTAAATCCCTTTGATTATGATTGTCGTAATTTAAAAATAATAATAATAATAATTAAATGTTAACTATTTGATTATAATTGTAAATTATATTGAAATTATTATTAAAAAAAGATTTAAACGAAGTTTCTTTAAGTGAATTTAATAAAAATTTTTACTAAAAATAATTAAATCAAAATCAAAATCGATAAATTAAAAGATTTCGTTATATAAATTAAATGTAAAAATTTTGAAAAAATTTAAATAAAAATTTAAAATTTTTATTAAATCATTTTTCAAAAAAAATTTCAAAAATTTCACGTAAATTTTGTCTACTATTATTCGCTTATAAAAAAGTTAATTAAAAAAAAAAAAAAAACAAATGTTTCGAGTAGACGAAGCGAATTTTTCTACCTTAAACAAGAACCAATAATGGTTAGTTGCACCTAGCGGCAGCTAGTGTTGCAAGTATTAGTATAATAATATAAGGTGTATTCCATTGTTAAGTAACATAGCTAATAAGAATCATTTAAAATTAAAAAGAGAGCATTTAACAAATAATTTGTCTTTATCTGTTTTTGATTTATAAGTGTTGACTTTAAAAATTTAATTTATCTTTGTCAGTTCAGACCTATAGATATAGTTAAAAAAATCATACATATATAATGATGATGATGATATTGACTGTGTTAATTATTAAATATTGTTGTATTTTGCATGAGGAAATACAATATGTAAGATTAGGCGAACAACTTCCTTATTATATTTTAAATGAAATTGAAATTTATAATGAGATTAATTGCTTCCCAATAACACCCAGGTTGGGTTAATATCTTTTCTTTTCACATGAATTTTGCAAGAACAAATATTCAATAATTTTCAAACCATAAAATTTGAATCTCGAATTTAATAAAGTTAGATATTTAATTTTCGATAAAAAATTAATTGAATATTTAATCTACGACGTATTTTCTCTTTTATTTTTAATACATATATATAATTTAGGTTGCATGCAAAATATATAGATTTTTATTTAAATAATAGGTAATTTGCGAATTAGTTTTTATGAAGGTTTCATTTTGACAGCTTGATGAAATTGATTTTTACGACACCGTATGATTCTGTTTAAATTAAGATTAGATTTTATAATTAACATTTTATATATTTATCTGTCATGACAATAGAAAAGCTTGGTGGATGCAACTAATTTGTCAGTCCTTCTTCTCCTTTTGTTTTAGTCTATACTCGTTTACTCAATCAAAATTTTTGGTTGGAAGGATTGGTTTTAGTGGTTAACACCTACCATTTATTAATTCATAATTAATTTAATATTCTTTTTGAGGTTTATATTTTATTTTCAACTTTTGGAAAAAATTATAATCAAATAAGAAAATGAATATAATTATCTAGTTACCAAATTTTTGTTGTTTTAAGTGATCATCACGGAACCTTTATGATTAATAAATCTCGAATATATGTAAATGCGTCATGAATCGGCTTAGAACGTTGTGATTTATAATCTTTTTTTTCTTATAAAAAATGAGGAATTTTGATTGCTAAATGCAAATTAATACCTTCATCCATAATTTTATGTTGAGTTCATATTGCTAGTTTAGTTATTTAATTAATCAAATATATAATGAAAAATATTTAAATGAAGTTTTTAAAGTGAAATTTATGAAATTTACTACTAAAAACAATTAAATAAAATAAAATCAAAAATCAAAACTACTAAATTAAAAGATCTTGTTATATAGATCAAGTATGTAAAATTTTTTAAAAAAATTAATGAATTTTGATATATTCTACATATAAACATTTTTAGTAAAAATATTAGTAGAATTTTTACCATTAAATAAATATCGATCAAATTTAAATTATAAATAATATATTAATAATTTTTTTATATATTATTGATCTTTATATTGAATTTTATCAATTTATCAATTTATTTTTTATTAAAATTTTTATTAATTCATTTTTTTTTAAATTCACAAATTTCACTACAATATACAATTGCATGCAGCATGAATTCATATTTTATATGTTTGATCAACCCGTGATTCATATTTTATATGTTTGATCAATCTG